GCGCCGCGGGGCGCCGGGGCCGGCGGCGGGAGCGGGACGCGGGGAGCGGGACGGTGCTGCCCACCGGGCAGCTCCTGCTCCGCGATGAGCTGCAAGTGGTGCCCAAGCCTGCTCCACACCACCACGTTTGCGGTGCTGCGGCCAGGGTGCAGGGTGCGTCTCCTTATTTGCCTTTCATTTTCCTGTCCTTTTCGATTTCCAAAGAAAAGTCTCTTCTCAGATGTCTTTTTTTTTTTTTTTTTTTTAATTTAATTTTAAAGATGGGTTTTGCAAGTCTAAAAGGAAAACGTTCTGCAGCAAGAATGGATGCGAGTACCTTGTGTGTACCCAGCTCATCCCTTTCCAGCAGCAGGAAAGGAGGCCGAGGCATCTGTTGGGGCCAAAACCAGAACAAACTGTGCTCAAAGTCCCCTATGCTCCGACTTTTACCAACCGACACTGAATTATTGAATTGTCCCTTCCGCCTCTTCTTCGCAGTTCTCACTGACTGTTCCTTCTTCTGCCCTATCACTACCTCCTAATGACTTTTCGCCCCATCAGGAGTTCTCCTTAGTGCAGGAGATTTCAAGACAAATAAAACACGTTTGGACATTTAGCCAATGAATGTGTTAATGGAAGATCGGATACATATATATATTTTCGCCTGGAAAAGTGCAGTTCTCCAGTAGACGGCTGCATTAAAACCTAAGTGCATTTATCAAGAGAAACTGTTTTTTTTTTTTTTTTTTTCCCCATGAAGAGCTGAAACTCGCTCTCCTAAGAACCAGTATATTAAAGATTAACACAGTCCAATGTCTTCAGTGCCCTAATTTTATCTCAGGGCGTCCATGCTATCGCAATATTTAGGATGCTGTCATCACCTCTAATGTCAACCCTTCTTACGGGGTTTCTCACCACTTCTCGGCATTTTTCGTGGTTGAAACTTCCAGTCTTGGATGAGAAGGCCTTATAAGAACCTCTTAACAGTTTTCCAGGGGGACATGGAGAAGAAATTTTTTCCTACGCCTAATAAGTGATGCCGACTCTAGCTTAGCAGCACTCTCTACCTTAAAAAAATAGAACGTGAAAGGTTTCTAAACCTTGCACAACCAAGAGCACACCGCCCTAGCGGGAGGGTCTCCCTAGCGGGAGGCCACTGGGATCCTTGGGTCTTCCTTCTCCCAAGGGACCCCTCGCATGCTCGGTTTATCAGTGGCAGGGAGTGAAGGGAACATAGGAGTGTTATTGGCCACAGAAAGCTAATTTTCTCACCACCTCCCTAAAACAACACGGGGAATTGGCGGCAGTAATTGTCACCAAGCTGCACACCAAGCTGCTCCCAGATTTCTCTCTCTCTCTTTTATTTTTTTCCTCTCCCCTGCTCTCTCCATCATCGCTCTCTTGCTCTTCGCACTGCCCCAAACTGTGCTCTGCATCATCCACCACCCGCTTTACTTCTACATGTCCCGCCTCTCTCCTGCTTCCTGGTTCCCCTTTACTCTCTCCTGACTTCTCATCCACTCTGTTCTGCATCGTCCTTTCTTGTCTGCTTTCCTCAGCCCTCCCTCGATCACTGTCCCCGCTGGTTGCCATCCCCCGTCTGCCACATCGGAATCCTCTGCATTGTATSTCCTCTCCATTTTCCTCCCCCCGACTCTTCTCCCAGGGCGCTTCTCTCTCTATCCCGGACCCCATCCCCACCGTTCTTGTTCCCAGGCTTCCCTCTTCATCCTTATCTTCCCCCTTCACCCGGTCCCAAGAAATTCCAGTCCCGTGGTCCTACCTCCTCTCCACCCTTTCCCGTACTCCCTTCCCCTGGCAGCAGGGGCACCTCCCCATCCTCAGGACACCTTAGCAGCGCTCCCAATTCCTTCCCCTCCTGCTCCTCTTCTTCTCTTTCCCTCCCAGTGCTCCCTCCCTGCACTTTCCCCSCTTCGCCAGTCCTCCATCTCTTTGGCTCTAGCTCTATCCCCTCCCTCTGCAGCCCCGACCCTCCCTTTGTCCCCCCCCTTCCCATTCCCCTCCCTCTCCCTCCCCATTCCTCCTCCCTTCCCTCCATCCCTCCTCCGGGTTGCCGCTTACAGCCCTCCAGGCGCGCCCAGTCCCGCTCGGTGCGGCTCGGCTCGGTTCTGTGCAGTTCGGTTCGGCTCTGCTCAGCGCTCCATGGTGCAGCTCGGGGGCGGCCGCGAAACCCCGCCGGGGGCGCCGGCCCCGCCGCCGGCCTTCAGCATCGCCAGCATCCTGCAGCTCGGGCCCCGCCGCCCGCTGCCGGGGCAGGAGGAGGAGGAGGAAGAGGAGGAGGAAGAGGGCCCCGCGGAGCACGACCCCAGTAAAGACTCTGGCAACTCGGGTACTGAGAGTGAACCCTGCGGGAGACTGCATCGCACGGCGGGGCGCGGGCCGGTCCCCGCCTCGTCCCGCTGCCGGGCCCCGGCGTTCGGGCGGGGGGTCGGACTCTGCTCCTCCTCCCCTGCCCCCCGTCCCATGGCCGAGCCGCGGCCGGGCCGCCCTGGGGACGCGCGCACCCACACACACCCGCGCACGCGCTYGTGCCCGCACACACACCGTGCTATCCCGGTGCCCATTCCTCCTCTAGTCAACAGAGGCAGGAAGAGGATCCGAGGTTTTCCCTTTCGTGACTGTGGCTGGATGGGAAGAGGCACCACCGGCACCCCCCGACCTGCTCTCAGGGTCTTGTGCAGGGTGTTTTACCCGCCCCCTCCCCCTTCTTTCCCTCCGCCTCTTTGGGTCTCTGTCCCATGTCCTGGACCTCTGAATTTCCCCGGCTTAGGGCTACCCGAGAGATCCCTAGACCCCTCCCGGATCCTTACCCTTCCCCTCCATAGGCGCCGCTCCTGGCGGAAGGCGGGGGGGATGCGCTGCCGCTTTGCGCTCCGCGGGACGCCGCGGGGCGGCCGGTGCGCGGTGCGGGGCCGCGGCTGATCTGATGCTCTTCGTGCTCTGCCCTTGCAGGCGGCGAGGCCGGGCCGGCAGCCGGGCCGGGCGCCGGAGGCAGCGGCGGGGCAGTCTCGCCGCCGCGCGGAGGGCTGCGCTGCGGCGCGGAGGAGGCGGCGGGAGCCGCGGGCTGCGGCAAGGACAGCGGCAAGGCGGCGGGCAGCAAGAAGAAGACGCGCACCATCTTCTCCAAGAGCCAGGTCTTCCAGCTCGAGTCCACCTTCGACGTGAAGCGCTACCTGAGCAGCGCTGAGCGCGCCGGCCTCGCCGCCTCGCTGCACCTCACCGAGACGCAGGTGAAGATCTGGTTCCAGAACCGCCGCAACAAGCTCAAGAGACAGATGTCCGCGGAGCCCGAGGGCCCGACCCCGACGGAGACCCCCGCGGAGCCGCTGCCTCCCGCCGCTGTCCCCTTGCCTGCCCTTTACAAGGACAGCCCCTTTCTCGGGCGCTGCTTGCTGCCCGTGTCCTTCCCCCTGCTCTGCCCGGGCAGCGCCCTCCCGTACCTCTGCCTGCCCAGCCCCGCCAAATACTTCAGCCTGCTCGACGGGGATGTATAACCCGTCGCGGCCCCCCCGGCACGGGACGGGCAACCCCCGACGTGGCTTCTGCGTCCYGCACCGGGCCGCCACCCGCACCCTCCGAGGGGCCGCCCGCGACGGGGCCACCGTGTCGCGCTGCCGGGGACACCGGGCGCCGCCGGCCCCTCCGAACCCGCCGTCCGCGAGGGTCGGGGCAGCCGTCGGTCACCAACAAGGGCGACCCGCAACCGGGCCACGGCATTTCCAAAGCAAAGGCCGGGATATCCCCCATCTGTCAAGCTCCCCACCTGTAACATCCCTCCAAGTAACTTCTCTCCATCCCCACCTTTGATTACATCAAAGTGTAAACACATTCCCTCCAGTTGATTCTCAAACTGTAGCTTGCCTAATTTTATTTTTCTCCCCMAAAAGAGGCAAACTCTTTCATACCTCTCACGCTAACTGATCCGAAATCTTGTGGGGAAATTTTATCTATTCTAGAAAAACGATTTTTTAAATGATTATTTAATAGATGTCTAAACTCATTTATCTTCCTTTCGTTTCCAAGTTTTCACAGTCTTTATATTAAAGGGTGGAAAATCAGCCTTCTCTTAATGGATGCATTTCGTCATGCCTTTTAAATGCAATTACTTCTAGGCAGTGTGAAAAGAGAGACATTTCCTAGAGTGAATCGATGGTTTTCATTTAAAAAATAAAGGTTAAAAATACAGTTGTGGTATTATGAAATTCACCTCTTGCTCTGAAATAAATGTCACCCGCATGGTCCATTTACAGACTAGACGAAAAAATAACTGAGCTGTTTATGGAATCATCAGGGCAATTAAAATAAGCTATTATTAGACTCTTGGCTCTTAAAAAAAAAAAAAAAAAA